AGATATGAGGAAGAAATTTTTTCCAATGACAGTGGTGAAACACTGGACCAGGTTGCCCAGGGAGGTGGTGGATGCCCCATCCCTGGGAACATTCAAGGTCAGGTTGGACAGGGCTCTGAGCAACCTGATCTAGTTGAAGATGTCCCTGCCCACAGCAGGGGGGTTGGACTAGATGACCTTTAAAGGGCCCTTCCAACCCAAACTATTCCATGATTCTATGATTCTAAATCTTCAGGACACACTAACAGTGGACCACATCTGAACCAGCTCATGTTTCGTCTGAAGTGGAAAGGACTTGTCACCTCCCTCCCAGAAAGTCTTACTCCAAAACCAAGAAAGAAAAGCCTCCATTTTACACGTGAAGGAGTAGCAAAGAGACAACTTCAGAGAGAAAACCAGCCAGAACTCTCATGTAATACATGGGTCTGGTACCATTGTACTGTCCTAAGGCAAGAAACCTTCATGCAAGCCAGTAGTACTGACAACAGTTTCTGCCTCTTGCCAGTGGCAGTAGCACTCTGCTTCCAACAGCTCCTTGGAAACGCTGCCTGCAGAAAGCCCACTGACCCAAAGGATCAGGTAAGCCTACTGAAAACTTGGAAACAAATTCAGGAAGTTAATCATAGTCAGAGGATGAGCTAAGGCAGCAAGACATAGGACACACTTTGGCACAGAACACCCTACATGTGCCAGAGGCTTTATGGACCCCCTAGTGCCACCCGCCCCTTTCTGACATCCCGAAGTGCTGCATGTGAAGACTTGAGGGGGTTCTATAGGGGGCTGCATGAGATGCATGAATCATTAGCTCCAGTCCACCTTTCTCATGCAATGGCACAGTGTTCTGAGTTAGATCCTCCTCCCCCTCCCAAAGGGTCATACACAGCACTCAGCAGATTCCTGAAGCCTCTAATCCTTCAGGGTTACCCACCACTCCCAGAAGTATGCATTTATTTTCTTCTACCTTCTATTTCCTCAGTGCACAGTGAATAGGAACTGAACTTTCCACCTCAGCCCCCTTTGGTTTTTTTACATCTCTTTCATCTCACTCCTGATCTGCAGCAGCCATTCTCACCTCAAGTATGGA